GCAGTGATTCCAGCATTTTCCAGCATTTTCTCTCCGGTGCCTTCTACAGCGCGTCGAGGGTGCTGCAGCTGCATTTCCATAGCCGCAGTTTTGAGTCAGTCCTACCTGGGCGACACGGCCCGACCGTCTGCCTGCCTGGGTCCGCACTCCTCACTTAAATGTACGTTTACAAAAAAGCAGGGCCACCCCAGGGCCACGCTGCAAGGCCAGCGCGCTGACCTCGAGGCCGGGCTGCTCCCCAGGGCTGGTGGAGCAGCCATCTGTGTCTGGGCCTGGAAGCCCCCGCGCCCCGATCAAGGAAGACCATGAAGGTCGAGACTGGATGCCCGCGGTGTGAGAACACTGAAAAAGCGAGTCCCGGTTACGTGTTTGTGATTACAGGGCACGCGGGCTTGCGTGTAACTTGCTCATAGTCAAGGACTGGAAGGGGAAATGCAGAAATGAAGTCATGGCCGTGGCTTGAGAAACCTTCCAAGCTGAGCAGGGCGGTGCTCCGGGAGGCTAAGGCAGGAGAACCTCAAGTTCAATCCCAGCCTGGGCAATTTAACAACCTAGTGAGACCCTGTCTCAAAATAAAAAATAAAAAAGGGCTGGGGACATGGCTGTGTGAAGGCCCTGGGTTCAATTCCCAGTACCACTACTGCCACCGCCACCACCAAGCCAAAAATTCTCCAGTCTCGATTCTAGGATGTATCACATTGACTTTGGTGCTTACAAGGGCCTTATGGGCTTCTTTGTTCCACGAGTGAATTACTGAACACCATTAATTAGCACCCTTCTGTGTCCCCCATGATGTTGGACATTGGCAGTGAATCTGTGTCCTGCTGTCTTCCCTGGTTCTGGTCTGGAATTGGCTGCTGTCCCTTTGCATAAGGAGCCTCCTTATTGGAGGTCTGGGCCTGCACAGCTTGGAGGAAACGGGAGCAGGGAGCCACGGCCGCAGGGCGGTAGGCCCCACGGTGTCAGCAGCTCGTTCCTCCTTCCCCGAGGACCCCATCCTGCTGGACCAGCGTCCCCTCCCGTCCCCCGTGGCGGAGGATGAGAAGGTGTAGGACGGCCAGGGCTCAGTCACCCTCTTGAGGGTGTCCCAGATGAGGCCGGGCATGGTACCAAGCTGTGCCCACACCCAGGACTGCTGGTGTGACCCCTTCCGAGAGGGTGGTCCCCGGCCAGGAAGACCAAGCTCTGGCCCGGAGTCCAGAAAGCCTGGTTCGGTTCTGCACGCAGCGGTGACATCAGGTCCCTGAACTTCAGTTCCTGCCAGGAAGTGTGCACGTTTCTTTGGAGGCAGGCTGCGAAAATCAAGGTGAGGCCACAGGGTCTTGGTGCATGATTGCTGCCTCCTGCCAGCGTCTCGGTTAGGCTGGCGTGGGGGCAGCTGGGCTTCCTCTGCCTCCTCACCCTACCCTTCTCCCCTCCTCCTCTGCCCCGTACCCCACTTCCTCCTGTGTGCTTCTCACTCCAGGTGACTCGTGTCCCTGGGAACACCATTTTATAAGAGGGGCCCCAGCCAGCCTCTCCATCCTGGTGTCCAGGCAGAGGCATCCTGTTCGGACCTCTGAGAGGAGCTGGGAGCTTGGGACCAGTGCCCTGCGAGGGCAGGATGGAAACTGCTGGCCTCACCCTGGGCAGCAGGGCGTGCGCCTGGGCCGCCTGACTTGTGGGCCTCTGCCTCGGTTCCTGCTCCTCTGCCGGGTGGGCAGTGGGGCCCGGGCTGCCTGGCCCGCTGAGCTGGGCGCACCCCGCCCGTCACGTGGCAGTGATGGCCCTGGGGCGGGCGACCCCTTGAGGGAGGCTCATGCCGTCTTCTTCTGCACCATGGCTGCCACGCCCTCACGGTGACACGTAAGATGAGCCAGTGCCACAGCAGCTCTATCTCGCAAGTCGAGGGACGCACGAACCTCTGGGGTCACAGGACAATCCGGTCACTGTCGCGGTGACCACGGGCTGGAGGATCTGGTGGCCGCTGCGCAGGTGGCCGCTAGGTGGCGCAAGGTCACCGCACGAGGGCGCCGCTGGCCCGGGGCGGTAGAAGCAGATCTACCCTTCAGCGGAATGAGACGGGGCTGCTCCTTTTCTTGCTGGATCCTGAGGGAAGCTAGTTGCTGCGAGGCTCTGGCTGTGGGCAGGGGGGTCTGGTGGCTGGGATTCGGGTGTGGGGACCTCTCTGGCCTGGCCGTGCTCCTGACTGCAGTAAGCTGGCCCTAACCTAAGGGGACCCTGCCTGTCCTTCCACAGGGCACACAGCACCGCCCTGCTCTCTCCCGTGTGAGAGGGACAGTGGGGAGGTCCTGGCCTGGGCACGCTGGTCACTATGCCCTTCTCCCTGCGCTGGCCATGCTGTGAGGGATAGTGGGAGGTGAGTGGCTCTGCCTCCCCTGCACTGTGACCTTGGAAATCTCGAGTTCCCGAGGCCCAGAGCGCTGCCCTGGGAGGGAATGGGCTGTGTTGCTCGGGGTGAGTCCCTAGCGCTGGGGCGTGGACAGAGAGAGGACTTCAGCCTCCAGGGCTGAGCACCCAGCCGGTCTAGGGGCAGAGGTGGCGCGTGCAGCTCCCAGCACGCCATCCCTGCTGGGTTTTTCCTGTGCCTGCTCTGCTGGGGCCCTGTGCTCCTCCGCTGGCTGTCGAGGAGTAGCACACGGTGGCTGCAGGCATGGTGCCCTCACTGTGGGAGCTGAGCCCCATGCAGGGGGCCTGGCACTAAGCACTGGGGAGGACCCAGGGCCCAGGCAGGCGGGATGGAGGCTGGCTGTTGCGGCACCTGCCGTGTGCTGCCCTGTGCATTCTGCTCAGCCATAAGGGAAGCTTTGGGGACACCAAACGCACGCAACCTCCGCGTGGACATGGAGCTTGTCTTTGTCTGGAGCCGCATGTGTTCACAGTGTAACAGCGGGGACCCGGCTCCTAGTGCCCGTTGTGAAGTTCACTGATGCCTCTGGCTGGGGACTCCATCTTCCCCACCCAGGCTTCCTGCTGTTGGCCTCCTGCACCTTCTGGCCCAGACATGGGGCTGCCCTGGTCTTGCAGTGACTGGTTTGAAGCTGGCATCCTCTCATGGTCTCCAGTCCTTGTCCCAGTGACCTCGGAGTCATTGAATCTTGCCTAGGGCGCAGCTGTGGGGCACGGGCTCCCTGGGCTCTGAAATGTGAAGCTGCTGTCGCACTGCCTGTGTCCCCAGAGGCTCCTCCCCTGTTGCGCTGTGCCCTGCATTCCAGGAGCTTCGTGCACTTTCTTTCTCTCACGACTCACAGCTGGGACATGGAGAGGACACAGATGGGTCAGCCTGAGTCCTCACTCATCTGTGCCTGGCTCCTTCGCTGACGTCACCCATCTGTGGTCCCTCCTCCCTCCCCCGCCATTGCAGGGGTGAGGGGGCCAATGGGCTGGGTGTGCAGAGCAGAGATACAGGCCCTGGGGAGCTGGGGGCTTCGGGGAAGCGTGGGTCTGGGCACCTGCAGCGCGGGAGACCAGTGTGGCGTCCCATGAGCACCGGGGTGTCCTGACTGGAGACTGCTGGCCAGTGGGGGCCGGGCGCACTCCACCCACTCCTCTCTGAAGCTCTGCATTTTGAGCAGCAGGGTCACAGAACGCAAACACTGGATAGACACAGGCTGCAGACTCCCTGGTGTGGGATCAGATTTCCCTGCTCGAGTTTTAGTCTTCAGCATGCAGGGTGAGGGCCCTGTGAGCACCTGGATTCGTCAGAGGCTGTGCAGGTCAGTGCTGGGGCTGCAGGTGAGGGCAGCTGGAGCCTGTCCTGAGAATGCCCCGGCTACCTGGGGGCTCCTCCAGGCAAGCCTGGCTGCGCGGGGATCACCGGACATACCCAGCAGTGTGCTCCCCAAGGCCTTGGGTGGATCCCGAAGCCAGTGGAGCTGCCAGTGAAGCTTAAACATCACACCTCTAATATGAACAAAAAGAATACAGAATTTCTTACCTATGAAATAGGACTATAGTAGGAATAAGTGGAGGTAATTAATGTAATGATTAACAGTTATTAAGTAGTTGTCATGTGCCATGTGCTGTGCTCAGGGTGTGTGGATGTGCATTTATATACACATACAAGGGGTGAACAAAATACATGATGAATATTTGAGTTAAAAATTATTACAGTAAAAGAGACACCGAGAGTAATCCCCTCCACTTTGACACACCTATCCCGTTGTTCTCACACTTTCTGAAGTTCTGGAGTCCTCTTTCATGAGGGTCTTCATGGAGTGAGATAAACATACCAAACGCTGCCTCCGAGTGCCATTCAGTGCAAAGGCATCTCATAAAAACGTGATGCTGTGTCCCATCTACCTGTTCCCTGGATCTGTCCCAGGGAGACTTCTGGCTCTTCCCCAAAGTCAGAATGACCTTGAAAGGTGGACATTCTGAACTGAATCAGGACATCAAGGCTGCCACAACAAAGCAACTAAAAGTACTCAGAAAAGTCTTCCAGAACTGCTTCAGAACGTGGCAAGAAGGGTGGGCTGCGCATTTACAGGCGAGGGGAGGATTTTGAGGCAGAGTCCTTTACTGTAACACATTAAAAAAAGTAGAGGTCCAGGGTAATTTTGGATCCCACCGTGTAGCACAGTGCTTAGTTGTGGTCACCACACTGAAGGGGCCATGGTCCAACGAGGGACAGCCCATGACCAGTGACTGCAGCTGCTCTCAGAGGCCCACACTGTGCTGGGTAAACCCCGTGGTGGCAGGGCAGGGTTGTGAGCCTGTGTCCTCTAGGGTTAAATCCTGGCACTCGAACTTCCGTATTTGGGGTGCTGGGGTGGAGCCCAGGGTCTCACACGTGTGAGGCCAGTGCTGTGCTACGGAGCTACATGCCCTGCCCCCTCTTAGACTTGGTTTTCTCCACTGTAACATGGGGCAAGAGACACACCTAGTTCACCTGTTGTTGTGAGGATTAAACAAGCAATTGTACAGAATATATAAATGTTTTTATGTGCATATGTAAGCTTATAGACAAATAACAATGCGTGGCCGAAAGCACTTGGTAAATGAGAAGTCATCTTCACGAGGCTGCAGTAGGGCGCTGCTGCAGTCCCATGTCTGGCCGTGTGCCGTGCTTCTGGGCACAGGTGGGTCAGCTGCCCAGTCTCAGGCCCCCCAGCTTCACCCGGGAGGCGGAGGCAGAGGCAGAGGGGCCGCTGCTGCGGGGAATGGAGGGCCGAGGACCCTGAGTCTGCCTTGGCAGCAGGGTGTTGTGGGGCGCAGGGGCGACGCTTCTCCTCCGCAGGCGGCAGGGCTGGGCTGGGCTTCCTAGGCGCCCTGTCTGCAGTGGCCCCTCTGCCTGACGGATGGCTGTGGGAGGACCGGCACGCGTTTCAGTCCCCTTCCTCTGCAGACCGAACGCCCTGCCCGGCGGTGCTGGCTTGGTTGGCAACTGCCAGGTCCCACAGCTGAAGAGGACACGCGAGGGCCGCGGAGTCGTCTCTGCAGCCCTAGCTCGGGAGCCGCCGCTTCTGGCGGTCCTTGCGCTCTGGCTTAGCTGTTCCGGCGATTAGTCCTGCCTCTGCCAGGGCTGTGCAAGTTAGTAAGATGCCTGGAAAGACCTC